GGCAAAAGTAATCTGCGAGACAAATCTGTCCCGCACTAGTAATTTTGAATCCCTATTATTTTTGATCACTGGATAACAATCGTGACGAAACATAATATCACGTAATTCTGATCGTAAGATTGTCACAGTTTTTTATCTATACTAATAAATGAACTTTTGAATACATCTGCACCTTATATAAAACAATGGAAAACACTCAATCCGAACTAGATATATTGAAACAAGAGAATACCAGACTTATGACCCGAATTGCGGAATTGGAACAAACCGTGAAAGAGAAAGATGAGCTTATGGCTAGAATTGTGGAATTAGAGCGATATAAATCAGATACCGCGAACCTTATAACTGAGAATGTTGAGCTTAAAGATAGAGTCACAAAATTGGAACAAAAACAGTCCTCGACTTGTCTAGAATTGTCGGATGATCCTAAACCCCAGACACGAAGTACTATTTCTCCCGAAATAAGGAGCGATTCTGGAATATCATCTATCCCACCACCTACCGAAGACCACTCTATTGATTCCGTGCCCTTAGAGAAGAATTCTGGTAATAATCCTGAAAAGATAGAAAACATATCCGATAACACATCTAGCCACGAAGTGACTGCCTCCAGCAATTCTGATATATGTCAAGAATCGGGAATCTCCATATCTCATATCTCTGCAGAACCTAAATCATTGGAAGAAAAAGAAATTAACGATTTCTTATATGAGAAAAATAAGGAAAGGGTTAGTAATGAAATAAGGGAGAGGAACCGGGAAAAGAAATTTCAAACTCAAGATACTCCCTCTATTATTATCCGTGAACAAAAAAACCTTCAATCGAATTCTCAGCATGAGGGAGCAAGTATTGACTCGACTTTGTCAAGAATTTCCAATAGCGAAGCTAGTGTCAAGGCACATGAATCGGAACAAACACCTATTAATCAAAAGGTTACCCGTAATCAAATGGTAGAACAAGGTTTAATACAAGAGTTAACAGAATTTATTATAGAGGAGAGCATTGAAATTAAGAAATCTATTTATTTGAATGATAAGAAAACTGTTACTGTACAGAGCTTAGTTCGTTTATATCAGGAAGCAAGTTTAGCGGAAAAAAATACAATTCAAGCCAAACAGGAAGAAATTTTATGCTGGTATTATTATGGTAAAGACTTTGAAAAAATGGTTAGTGAAATTTTGTCTAATCCTTTCAGAATTGGAGCTAGTTGCAAAAATAATAAAAGAGCTAATGATCTAGCAAGAGGCCAAATTTATGATGAAATAATTGAACATCTTTCAGGCATCACACGTGAAAATTTGCGTAAGAAAACTCAGAGAATTATTAAAATTTATAATCTATTCGAAACAATAGGTAAAGATAAAATTAAGCAAGTTCGATCTTATAGTGCAACTACTATTTCATGTTTAACCGATACTAATATTCAAAATATTATCAATTCCGTTTCCGAAAAATCACATGACTGTGAGACAAATCTGTCCCGCACTTATAAAGAAAATTTATCTACCGATTTTAGTCTTTCTCCAAAAATAGTATCAGGTGCACCACCTGACTCAAAATCCGTTATCAAGAAGACTTTATCTGAAAAGCAAAATAATTCAGCTCATACCCATGCTAATTTCTGCAACAAAACATTGGAACAATATCCTGATATATTTTATGAATATAGTAATGAAGGTGCCGATTATTATGGAATTAATTCTGAGTCATTATGCCCAATATGCAAGTTAAATCATGAGGATGGGGAAGGTGTAGAGGGCAATTACGAGGCTGGATCATACTATATCAAGTGTGAAGCATCCGAAATTGATATGATCCAGTACATTGGCCGTGCCAGCTCTGCTGATGCTGTATAAGCTTTGTTTATTTGTATTTTCTTGCCAGCTATATATTACTATGCAATAAAGATATCTATATTAATTGAAACATATTTAATATTTTTTTATGCGGGAACCTACATTTGTATAAATGATAATATGTCTTCTACCTATTTTTGTCAGCTATTGTTAATTTAAAAAGATGTACAATCATAAAATGTCAACATGAATAAGATCGATAAAACATTAACTCCCGAATATTTGGAGTGGCATGCTAAATTAACTAGTTTACCAAGCATTTTGACAGATGAAATTCGCTCTACATTATATAAAAGATATAAGAAAAAAACTGAACTCGATCCTTGGATAAACTCAGAATCCTCACAAATCGAAAATGCTGATGATCATCTTTCACGAGACTGTATTATCAAGATTTCTAAATTTCCGGAAGAAAAAGATGTGATTATTAAAACAGTACAGAACTGATTCTCTTTCTTGACATATACTAATTCGAATGCATGGCATCGGGATGTTTTTAAATATACTGATTTAGAAGCTAAATGTCCGATATGTAAAGAGGTACATACACGTTTAAGTATATGAGGTGATTGGAGTTGTCTAGACAAAAATGATCACTATTATCTCAATTGCCCTTTTCGTATCGATCAAAAGAAAGTTATAATTGCTATACAGAGTTCGTTGGAAATCCAGATAAGTATATCAAACACAACTCAATCACCAATTCCTAGGACTAATTCAAATAAAATTTATCAGCCAGAGGCCAGCTTACGACAATATGCCATCGAACATAAAATGGATCCCGAAAAATTTTCTGTTATTACTGAGGCTAAGAAAAAAAGGTGGATAATGGGATGCTTCCGTGGTGACTTGGAAAGAGATATACGCTGTTATCAAGGTGGAATAAAGAGGAAGGAAGACCCTAAAAAATATCATAAATTTTTAACAGATCGGGATAGGCTGGTCGGTGAAGAGTTATTACGTCGCAGTATACTAAAGAGTAGATTAAGTACTGTATGGCTTGACGATCTTATGAAAGAATGGAAAGAAATTCATGCTCAATTCGTACAAATTTTTAGCCACTGATTTCAGCGTTTGCCAGCATAAAGTATCAGGTTGAATATCATACCAGAAAATTAAACCATATGCTTGCAAGCTTTGTAGTACACCCGAAATAGATCTTACATGCTCGAAATAGATTTTATATGCCTGAAATAGATTCCACATGTCTGGAATAGATTTTTCATTCATGTAACAATCACGGAAGTTGATTCATATACTCAATTAATTATTGTTTATACTGGATAATATATATACAATATATATACGAGCAATTTTTTATATAAATAGCAATGCCTGAACTCGAGAAACTTTACTTCCC